TATGCCGTAAATGTTCGTAATTATTACACTTACGTAATATTCCGGAGTTACTATAGCGTAAACTTTCGTAATTATTATACCTACGTAATACTCTGAACTAATCGTAAATTTTCGTAAGTTTACACTCGCGTAAAAACTTGCGGAGGTTTACACCTATTTATTTTTGCTGATGTTTGCATTTTCAAGAACCATCATATACCCTTCAAGATATTTCTATAATTGAATAACTTTATTCAAGTAATCATCAGGTGGTTTTTGGCTGTATAAAGTGGAAATTTTGCAAGAGTAGGAGCTATTAATTTTAATACTAGTAAATGTCTAGCATCAGCCATGTTTATTTGATTTGGTGGATTATTATGAAGTACCAAAATTTGTTAATTTAAATTTAAAATATTCTGGCACTCTGTATAGGTCTTATTTTTCCACTTCTCATATCGTTCATATAATCTATCTTGATTATATTCTAGCAAACCTTTATTCCCCTGTATTACTATAGATGGTGAGCCTTTTGCAGATACAGTAGTTGTAAGGCAAATTTTTCCTGTAGTAATATACCAATATAGGTTCACTTTCCTGTTATATTGTCTAACATTCTGTTTACTTGATTTTGAGTATTAGTTCACAACTGCTGAAGATCAAGCAATGCCTAATCTCGCTCCTGCCTATATATATCTCGGTCTCATTATATGTTTACTAGATCTTGTTGTAAGTTAGTGTATTTATGTTGAATTGATCTTAATTTGATTTGTTAAAACAGTTCTACATATTGCTATATCATTTAGGGATCGGTTTATAGTATTAGCCAACTTAGCTATTGTACCTATATTATCATCAAAATTATACAAGTCTGGAGAATTTTCATCAGAATCAGATTCATTTTCATTAAAATTTCATGTTTGTGCATTTTGTAAAGCCTCTCGTATATTTGTAAGTTCTAATCTATTTTGATATCTTAATAATACTAAAATAAAATTCTGACAAAGCAGGTCTGTAATACAATTTTTTTGCTGAGTTATTTTGTTGATCTTATTTATTTGATTAGTTCTTACTGTATTTATTTCTTGTTTAAAGTGTTTATTCTCATTCACTAATCCGGTTATATAATCTTGCACTTTGGGGATATTATCTGCAGATTTTGATATTTCTTGTATTTGGGTTTTTAATTTTGTCTCACGTTTATCAAATTCTGATATTAATCTATCTTTATTGGAAATTTCTTTGTCTTTCTTTTTATTTTCTTCCTTGAGTTGGTGAACGATTCTTTTTAATTTTGAAATCTCTTCTAATAATTTTTTTTTGTCTTGTCTAAAAAGTTTGATAGTGTTATTTAACTCTTCTTCAAGATATCGTATCTTTTTTTCATATATACTTATAACTCTTTCTAAGGTATATAGTTGTTGTTCGAAATTTCTATTTGATTCTGCTAATTGCGATACTACTTCATAGAGTTCTTGGTTAGTTTGTTGTAAAGACATAGTCTCATTGCTTTGCAATAACTTATCCATTTTTTATTTACTATATTGATTGAGAAATTGCTAAATCTATAAAAGAGAATCGAAATAGGGGAACCGGTTATTTATATCAATCCTCAGAGAGCATAGGAGCTAAATTAAGTTATTGCAAAACAAATGCTATTGATTTTTATCGATCCTAAAAAAGCCTATAATCTAGACCAATATCTTGCTTTACAAAAGCTATATTATTGTCTTGAGGGCCTTTACCAAAATACAAAAGAACTATAGAATAAATATAAGAAAGCAGGTTATATCTTTTCATTTACTAATATAAAAAAATAGCTTGATAGTTAGGCAATGTATCAAATCTTTTGGCTTTCACTAAAACAAATACTTTATACTAGTTACTCTAAAATCACAAAGCCAAATACTATACATTAGTGCGATTTAATCAAAATACCATATGATGTAGATACAGATTTACTAAATGATAGCCTAATATTTTACTATGTATCATTAGTTATAGACTGTGCAACTAGATATAAAGATTTTGTTTTTTTAACATCAAAAAGTAGTGAAGAAGTTGCAGAAGCTTTAAAAGTTTATATGATGATCCCGATTATAAATGCTAGAAAAATATGGTAAAATGTAGTGAAATAATTTCACCACTATTAGTGTAATTGATAGTGAATTGGTGAAATTAATTTCACTAGCATCTAAAATCCCGATAATCCCCTCAACTAGCCTAGAAAAGTACAATATGATGAAGGTCATGAGTTTATGGGAAGTATAATATTGATAATGGATGAACACAATATTAACATCTAAAGAATTAAAGCATGTTTTAGGCATATGAGCATGGCTATGGTCGATCGTTATGCTGGATTATTTAAATTAAAAGTTTTTAAAAATCAGTATGCGATAGAGTTTCCTTTACCTACCAGTAAACACTGTAGAGAATATGAACGATTTGCAAGAAGAATTGTTGATAACATGAATGATACTCCTACTTGGTTAATTGGAATAAGTCTTAATAATGCCACAAAACTTGAGCAGGTGTATTCCAAACCATCAGTAAAATATAATCGCCCAATAGGTGTTGATGAACCACAACTACCAAAAAGTACTATTGTGCGATTCTTACTTGCTAAAAGAGAATAGGAAAATGATTCTTTTTGAATGATGCAGGATAACAGATCCTGTATGCTCTTCTTCTTTACATAAAATTTGAAAAATTGTTGTTGAAAGAAATCCACCAATGCCTGTTTTATACTATTTAGATGAATCGGGATCTCAATATCCATTTGTAAGAGAACAATTAATGCATATCAAGGAAGAGCCTATATTACCTCCTAGATGGGTATTGAAAGGTAACCGAATATATACAAAGCACTTTTAATAAAAATCTTTAAGTCAACAATACAATAGGGAATTGTAATAAGAATTACTATATTCCTTCTCTGTAGCATAATGCCCTCTTTTTCCAATCATGCCAGATTTGTACATCTAAATTTATCTGTCCTTGTGAATGAAAAAAAGGTATAATTTGATAATGTTAATTGCCACTATATTTGAAGGCCAAGCCTAGCTCTTTATTATATCTATCTAGGTATAAACTCTCTAAAAATTTAGGCTTTCTGGACAAGAATTTTTTATTTAATAAATCCTTAAATATATACTGGTATGTTCTTTTCAGAACATTAGAGCAAATATTACACTACTGGTAATTCTGTTTCATATTTTTATATAGTACCTCCTATTGATAATTTTTCTTACATGCCCATAAATATGTATTAGGACTAACTTTAGCTAAGCATCTTTCTTCATATCTTTGGGTATATGCTAAAGCTTTGGCATCAATCTCATTATAATCTTGTATTTTTATAATATTAAAATTTAACTTGAATATTTTAGTTAATTATACCTTGGAGTATCATTTTTTTTGAACTTGAGAGAAAAAAAGAAAAAAAAGTACGAGAGTATGGATGAAGTTGCTTTCTTGAAATATAAGCAAAATTTTGAGACTAAAATGAAAGTTTCTACTACTCTACACAAAAAAGAGCTAAAAAATCGATCTTTGGCTCTTATCGAATATATATAATCTAGCTAAATAGTAATTCTTGGAGCAGAAAGATTGTTATATTTAGCTAGTTATACATTTTAAATAAGTGGGTTTTTTGTCATCTCTTATAATAAATATACAGAAAATTCAAATTAAAAATTATTACTCTGTTATCTAAATTATATAAAGGAGTTTCTTTGTTGTGGAATTTTGGTGAAAATAATATAGGGAGTAGGTAAATTGCAGAAATTTGTAGAACTGCATATTCTTGGAAATCTGATATATGGGTTAAAGTAACAGGTAAGTAATTGTATATATGAGATATTCAAAGACCATTTTTGTGTTATGCAATTTTGATTAAGAGATACAGTTTCAGGTAAGTAATAGGTTAAAATAATCATATTTTAAAATGTAATGCGTATGTGATGTGCTTCAAATAGTACTAGTAGAGTCAACTTTTGCTGAAAAATCTTAGGCTACCAAAGTAAAATTATTATAGAAAAGTTATACTATTGCACTTTGATGGGTCAAATGTGATATATTTTTGGGGCCACCAAAGTAAAAATTGCTTTGATGGGTCAAATGTAATATACCTTCTAATTATATATTGATAGATCACCAAAGATTTTTTAGTGTAAGTACTAAACTATTTTGAATAAAAAAGAGTGGAATGCCAGTATTTCAAGATAGAGTATATATATAATATAAAATTATACTTTGATGGAATACCAAAGATTTTTCGATGTGAATAATATTTCAAGTAAAAAGTAAACCCCAAAAGATTTTTTAATGTAAGTAATATTTCGAATAAAAAGTGGGCCTCCAAAGATTTTTTAATATAAGTAATATTTCGAGTAAAAAAAGTGAGCCCTCAAAGTAAAATTATTACAGATATATATATATTATAAAATTATACTTTGGGGGTCACCAGGTAGGGATAGCAATTCGGCACTATATGCCTCATCTTTAGGCAATATTCGAATGAATTATACAAAGCTAATAGCAGTTATCAATTCAGCACTACATGCTTCAGCCTCAATCAATATTTGAGTGCAATATAATAGATAACATTCGGCACTACGTGCCTCATTCTCTAGCAATATTCGAGTATATTATATAAAGATTACGAATACTATTTTAGCACCACGTGCCTCAAATCTGGCCCTTGTCAAGGAATTAACTAGAAGGCTAGAGTACTATATACCTAGTTTGGGCATAGCCCTCATATCAGGCCTGCAAATAATAATATGCAACTAAATATATCGTTAGCAAGTGGGATGACAAACTCGTAAACCAATTACCACTCAAATGACGACAAACTTGTAAACCAATCGTCACTTGAATGATGAGGCAAATGCAAAATACTTGTCATACTAGTGCATGTCTTAGCAGTTTCCAAATGACAATATAAAGGCAACCTATATAGCATCTAATTTATAGAAAGGAAGCAAATATTAGGCTTATTAGAGATCAAAATAAGTAGCTATAAAATAAGTAGATAGCAGTATACTCATAAGTAGATAAGTAGGTGTCAAGATCTTCGATTAAAGTTTTGTAAAAAAATTTGATCATTTATCAAATAGAAGTGCTTTGAATATTGTATCAAAGATATCTTGATACCTACCTGGCCAAATTCGATGATTTTTTTTATTCAAATTCAGCTGATTTCACAATAAAAAAGAAAGTTTATAGAATTTGGCTAGGTTAATGTCTCGATTGACATCTATCAAATAGAAATGCGTCATCAAATTTGATTAAAGATATCTCGACATTTTACCTCTTCAATTTTAATGAGCTTTTTTATTTGAATTCTGCTGATCTCTATAATTAAAACAAAAAAAAAGTTCATTAAACTTGGTCAGGTAGGTGTCAAGATATCTTTGATTAATGTTTGAAATTGCACTTCTAGTTGATAAATGTTTAAAATTTTTCTAAAAACTTTAATTAAAGATATCTTAATACCCACCTGGTCAAATTCAATGAGCTTTTTTTTTTTTTAGAATCTACCTGATCTCTACAATTAAAACAAAAAAAGTTCATCGAATTTGGCCAGGTAGGTATTGAGATATCTTCGATTAAAGTTTTTAGAAAAATTTTAAATATTTATCAATTAGAGTGTAATTTCAAACTTTAATCAAAGATATCTAACACCCACCTAACCAAGTTTGAATAACTTTTTTATTCAAATTTTACTAATTTTATTTTAAGGCAAGGTTTGCTAACTCACTTTGCTTTTTGTCACTGGGTTAAGAAAAAAAAAAAAATTAGCAGTGTAAGTGCAATAGGACAAGTGTGTTATGGCATTACGATTATCACAGAGATTCTAGAAAACTAAATTTTATTTGTTTTAGAAACCTAACGGAATATGCAATATTTTTTTTTGTAATACTATCAAGAACTATTGATGAATGGTTTGTGTATCTATCCTTATATGGCGATAATATGATTGCTTTCTCTATATTAAGCTATATTAAAATTATATATATATTTTTTTTTGTGAATTCAGCAATCTTGCCTCAACTTTATTAGGCTAAAATATTTAACTCATAGGTAAAATATCATTTTGCTAAAGTGAACTAAAGCACCACCTAAATTACAAGTTTTAGCTAACCCGGTTGTTCTCAAGCAAATATCTATGTTCAATCTGCTATAGTAAATGTTTATCTCCCCATATCAAAAAAACTTGCAGATAAATTCTTTGATATATCACTGAATGGTATTTACAGCTTATCAAGACTGCCATCTTTTCTAAACCTTCTTCCTCTAGCTTCACAAGCAAAAGAATTCATAGTCTCTAACTGACTTATGAAAAAAAAAATATTAACACTAAAAATAAAGGGAACAACACGAAAGAGGGAAAGAAAAAAAACTGCCAAAGCAACAAGAAAACGAACAAAAGGAAAAAAAAGAAACAATAAGAAAAAGTCAAAAAAAAAACCAATCAATAAAAACACTATTATAGCCCATGCTAGGCACAGTTGTAAAAATTATATACTAAATTTAAAAATCTTGTATATCTCTATTGTAAAGCCTTGCTTTATCATTAAGTCTCTTCTGACTTTACTGTCCGGTCTGGGTCGGTTCGTTAACCAGAGCACTGATTGGTTTGTCACATGGTGTAGATACATCATTGTCAAAACAATTCCATGTTTATGTCCTACTTCGTCCGTCTGAAAATGAAAAGTGTAAACAATGCCGATCTTTTGGAAGGGGTAAGCTGGATTGCCTACTTTTTGTTGAAATTTTGGTGAGATCAGCAAGAGGCGGTAGAGGTAAAAAAAAACACTAGTTCCAAATCAAAGGAGTGTGTATACTTTTCTTGCCAAGTATATTAGTGACTTGTTAACCGAGCGAAGGGCGGGTATTTAAAGAACGTTAAAGAGTGAGTAATAAACTCTAAGCTTGTTGGCAAGTAGATATGAGAACTACTTCTAAATGACAAGTGCTCCCATTACAACAGCGAGTAATAAAATCTGGGCCTGTTAGCAGGTAGCGTATAAGAACTACCTCTAAATAACAGATGCTATAGTTCCTCAACTTATCTTACTTATTACTTTTTTAACTAGTTATAATGTATTTATTAAGAAAAGTTTTTGGAAAAAATGATCGTCAGAAAGAGTTTGAGACTAAAAAATTATATATTAACTACAATATTTAATATACAATCAATTTCCTTTAAGTGCATATTGTTAAAATTAGTATTATATTTTGATTTGTATTTAAAGAGAATTAGCAATTAAAAAAAATTAAAATTATTAAAAATTTTATTAATTTTTTTTTTTTTTTAATTTGGCAGTCTTGCCAATACTGTTTATTAAATTTATGCTAGAGTATTTTTGGTTACAAATATTATGAGTATAGTTACAACTATCTAATATATATTATATATATTAGCTCACCCAGTTACTAATTTAAATACCTATATGCAACCTGCTATATATAGTGATTGGACTCGGGTCAAGTATTACTTGGGTTAACCGCGAGTAACCGGATAACCGGGTAATGACTATAGCTACTCGGGTAAGTACACCCGGGTATTACCTGGGTGGATATACCCAAGTAATACCCGGGTAGACATACCCGAGTATTACTTGGGTAG